TAGATCTTAACAAGTTCTCATTACGAGAAAAAAATAATTGTAACTATATGCAGTGGTGACGATGCTATATATACTTAATATAGTAATCATTTTTCAATATATACATTTATTAAATCATTATGTCATACAAACACCCAAAAATAGTATAAAGTTTTTGTCAGTTTTAGCTCATAAAATGTGGAGGTTCTGAAAATGTTTTCTCTCCTGTTGAGAATATAAATTGGTATAACCTCTTCTAGGAGTAATTAGGGCATATGTAGTTAGATTCAAGAGGTTTATATCCTTTGATCTAGTATTCCCACTCTTAGATATACAGATATTTTAGAATCTAATAGATATGTTCAAGAAAGCATTCAAAAGAATGACTATATCATCATGATTCCTAACAGAAAACTGAAGTACCTATCAGAAAAATTTACAAATTACTTGTGATAGTCATATGATGGAATATCATAAAGAAATTAATGAACTAAGTCTACACGTCTCTTATCATTGATATATCTCAGAAACAATGTACAGGGAAAAAACAATTTTCATAAGAATGTGTTCATGATGAAAATATGTTTTATGAAAATAGAATGAAGGAAATGTACATGATGAAAAATATAAATATATGTACAAGCATACATACATGGAAAAGATAAGCATTGAATTCAGAATTAGGAGGGTACTGTCATGATAGGAACAGGAGTGTCTGAAAATAATCTTGACTACTGATGATTTGTGCAGATAGCCAGTTAGTTGGGTTCTTGCGTATGGCATGGGGAGCCTCTTCCAGTGGGAGAGTTTGGCACATTGCTCAAGTTCAACTCCAGAATATCAATGCTTCCTAACCCATAGTCACCAGGTGTAAGTTTGCCCATGATCCTCTGGTTTGGAGCAGCTAACATTTTCATACAACCCTAATAAATAGCTGGTCATCCTAAATTCTTACTGAAAGTGAAAAGCATTAGTCACTTCAGTTATGAGCGACCCTATGAACTATAGCCCACTAGGCTCCTCTATCCATGGAATTCTACAGGCAAGAATACTGGAGTGGGTAGCCATTCCCTTCTCCAGGAGGTCGTCTCTGAAGAATCTTCTCAACCCAGGGCTTAAACCCAGGTCTCCCTCATTGCTCTCCCGCATGGTAAAGAATCTGAGATTCTTCTGAGCCACCAGAGAATCACCTACTGTTGGGTACCAAATAGCTCATATATTCTCCCACTGATGAGGCCATTTTCTTACTTTGCTCTGTAAGATGAGAGACTCATAGACCAAAATTTATCATCTCAAAATGTGCCTCTTTGGCATACATATTGATTTAGGGTGATTATTTTTAAGAAAAGAAACTCAGAAAGTCTTCTTGCCTCCCACTTAGCTACCTAAGAATTTAGCTAAAGGGCATGTACCTAAAATAGAATACATCTGTGACCAAAGATGGACCCTTAAGGCAGAAAGCAAAGAAGAAAGCCTCTTAATGAAAGTGAAAGAGGAGAGTGAAAAAGCTGGCATCAAACTCAACATTCAAAAAACTTAAGATCGTGGCATCCGGTCCCATCACTTCATGGCAAATAAATGGGGAAACAATGGAAACAGTGAGAAACTTTGTCTTTCTTTGGCTCCAAAATCACTGCAGATGGTGACTGAAGCCATGAAATTAAAAAAGATGCTTGCTCCTCAAAAGAAAAGTTATGACCAACCTAGACAGCACATTAGAAGGCAGAGACATTACTTTGCCAACTCAGGTCCATCTAGTCAAAGCTATGGCTTTTCCAGTAGTCATGTATGGATGTGACAGTTGGACCATAAACAAAGCTGAGCACCAAAGAACTGATGTTTTGAACTGTGGTGTTGGAGAAGACTCTTGAGAGTCCCTACAACTGCAAGGAGATCAAACCAGTCAATCCTAAAGGAAATCAGTCCTGAATATTCATTGGAAGGACTGATGCTGAAGCTGAAACTCCAATACTTTGTCCACCTGATGCGAAAAACTGACTCCTTAGAAGACACTAATGCTGGAAAAGATTGAAGGCAGGAGGAGAAGGGGACGACAGAGGATGAGATTGCTGGATAACATCACCTACTCGATGGACATGAGTTTGAGTAAGCTCTGGGAGCTGGGCATGGACAGGGAAGCCTGACATGCTGTAGTCCATGAAGTCACAAATTATTGGACATGACTGAGTGATTGAATTGACTGACTGATGACCAAAGATATCTGCAACGACTATAGGCTAGGTTGCAGTGGTGGAAACTCAGCAGGGCCTAGAGAGCAGAGTCCACTCTTCATTCCCTTGTCTCTGCACAGCCCAGTGAACATTTATTTATCAAACATTTACTTTTCCATCAGTGTGGATTGCCTTTTTCTCCTTTGAAGTCCCAAACTACTACTCCCAACATTTGCTTTGTCTCTAGCTGAAGATGTATTTAAGGTGGGGTTTCAGCTTGACTTCTTTTGATAGCCCTAAAAAACAAAACAAAACAAAACCCTCTTCCCAGTGCAAATTCAGAAGTTTCAATTGAATATTTCTTAAAACAAGAATAACAAGATCTGAAGCAAATATAACACCATGTTAAAAGTCTGTCAAATTGGATAACAAATACTTTGAAGTTTGTTTTACTATTCTGTATAACTTTTAGCTACTGAAAATATTCTATAGTGGGGAAAAAATTAAAATCAAAGCAGTAAGTAATAAATTCAAAGTATGCATTTACAGAACGCAAATGACTCCTTTATCAGTATCCTTTATAGACTCAATTTTTGAAAAATAAAATTTAACTTTAAACAACTAAGATCTAATTTGTCCCTATAGGCATTGAATAGAAAACTTAAAACATATTTATAAAGATCCATACATGTGCATGCTAAGTCCCTTCAGTCATGTCTGACTCTTTGCAACCTTACGGACCTTAGCCTACCAGGCTTCTTTGTTCATGAGATTCTCCATGCAAGAATACTAGAGTGAGTTGCTGTGCCCTTCCCGACCCTGGGATCAAACCCACCTCTCTTACATCTCCTGCATTTGCAGGAGGTTTCTTTACCACTAGTTCCACCTGGGAAGCCCCAAGAAATACCCATATATATTTCAATATTAATTCATTTAAATACAGACAGAAATGTTCTAAAATATTATATTCATCACCATATCACATTCAGAGTCTTGACTGAACTCTTTGTGATCCCATGGACTGCAGCATGGCAGGCCTCCCTGTCCATCACTAACTCCCGGAGCTTACTCAAACTCATGTCCATAGAGTCAGTGATGCCATCCAACCATCTCATCCTCTGACGTCCTCTTCTCCTCCCACCTTCAACCTTTCCCAGCATCAGGGTCTTTTCAAGTGACTCAGGTCTTCGCATCAGGTGACCAAAGTATTGGAGTTTCAGCTTCAGCATTAGTCTTTCCAATGAATATTCAGGACTGATTTCCTTTATGATGGACTGGTTAGATCTCCTTGCAGTCCAAGCACCTCACAAGGGTTTTATCCAAAACCACAGTTCAAGAGCATCAACTCTTCAGCACTCAGCTTTCTTTATATATAATCCAACACTAACATCCATACATGGCTGCTGGAAAAACTGTACCTTTGACTATATGGACCTTTGTTGGCAAAGAAATGTCTCTGCTCTTTAATATGCTGTCTAGGTTGGTCATAACTTTCCTTCCAAGGAGCAAGTGTCTTTTAATTTCATGGCTGCAGTCACCATCTGCAGTGATTTTGGAGCCCCCCAAAACAAAGTCCATCATGGTTTCCACTGTTTCCCCATCTATTTGCCAGTAAGTGATGGGACCAGATGCCATGATCTTAGTGTTCTGAATGTTGAGCTTTAAGCCAACTTTTTCACTCTCCTCTTTCACTTTCATCAAGAGGCTTTTTAGTTCTTCTTCNTTTGTTCATAGTGATGCTTCCTAAGGCCCACTTTGCTTCACATTCCAGGATGTCTTCCTCTAGTTGAGTGATCACACCATCTTGATTATCTGGATTGTGAGGATTGTTTTTGTTCAGTTCTTCTGTATATTGTTGCCACCTCTTCTTAATATCTTATGCTTCTGTTAGGTCCATACCATTTCTGTCCTTTATTGTGCTCATCTTTGCATGAAATGTTCCCTTGGTATCTCTAATTTTCTTGAAGTGATCTCTAGTCTTTCCCTTGTTTTCTAGTCTTTCTATTGTTTTCCTCTATTTCTTTGCATTGATCACTGAGGAAGGCTTTCTTATCTCTCTTTGCTATTCTTTGGAACTCTGTATTCAAATGGGCACATGCCCATTACATAAGATAAGATATCTTATCTTATATTATCTTGATTTGAAAGATATCTTTCCTTTTCTCCTTTGCCTTTAGCTTCTCTTCTTTTCACAGCTATTTGAAAGACCTCACCAGACAACCATTTTTCTTTTTTGCATTTCTTTTTCTTAGGGATGTTCTTGATCCCTGTCTCCAGTACAATGTCACTAACTTCCATCCATAGTTCTTCAGGCACTCTGTCTATCAGATCCAATCCCTTGAATATATTTCTCACTCTCAGTGTATAATCATAAGGGATTTGATTTAGAGCATATTATATTCACCCTATTCTAAATGTTGACCTATTTAAATATTTTCAGATATTTCTGAATCATAGTTGTCAAAATATTTTGTGAATCGTATACTTTTGAGTATTTTTATCAGTGAGAGTAGTCTCTGAATATTTGATATTCAAGTGAAACTTCAGCTTCTAAAAATGCCTTTGTTTTTTAAGAAATATTTTGTGGTCTCAGCCAACTTCTGCAGTATCCTAATTGCTTATTTGTTTGTGTGATGCATTTCCTTTGGTAGTAATTAGGAAATGCTAATTTCCTTCTCACTCATAGGAAAAGTCTACAGTGAGTGCTCTTTTGTGAGATGAATTGCAGGTAGTATGCTTTAAGAACCGCACATACAACTAACCACTGACAATGGCCAATACGACATTATTCTCTTGTATAAAATATTCACAATTTAAATCATGATGCTAAAATCAAATGTTCACATTTACCTTTATACTCTAAATGAAATCCAGTGTAACTAACAGATCCATCACTCCGAAAAGCCAAATGCATGTTATTTGAGCTGCTTTCTATCCTCTCCGGTAATTTGCTGTCTTGAAAACTTCCAATCAAGGGACTATTACTGTCTGGCCCATCATATATATAGAGGAAATCATAGTTTGGTTCTATGCTAAAACTAAAAGAAGAGAAAAAGAAAGAAAGGAAGGAAGGAAGAAAAAAAGTGGAATCGTTATTACTAAAGTTTTAATCATAATAGTCCCATAAATTACATATTAATTCAATCATTATCTTTAAAAATAACAGATTCTGTCAAAATAAGTCAATTTGAAAATACCCCTGGCAACAGCACACTGAATATGCATATAAAATCATCACTGAAAAAAGAAAGAAGATATCTTGATATTTTCAAGTATTTCTAAGTTGGCATTATGTCTACAGGGAATACAAATGACTGTAAGGCAAACAATTTGTAAGCTGCTGAAGGATACAGGATTTGCAGTTAGAGTTTAGGTTCAAGATGCTTGTGTCCTTGTTAGCTCCATATCCTTAAATTACTTTATATCAGTAAAATGTGTAAGACATTAACTGTACTTTAAAATTTTTCACCAGATATTTTGCATCTCTTTTTGCTTTGTCCATGAATCTATTTGCCTTGAACTTCAAAATTGAAGAGCATTTTTGTTTTAAAACTGAACTCTACATATCAGATTCAAACAAAAGTTGCAAAGATAAAATCTGCATTTAAATTACTCAAAGCATTGCACATTGTACTAGGTGTTCTTTTCCTTGAAAGTAAATATATTTTCTTCTCTTAGAACTTAATGTAGGCAAATTGAGCCAATACACTCTTCACCAAAATTAAACAGTGTGTAAATAAAGACATTTTAGCACATAAACTATTCAAATCAATATTTAAATGTTTCAAAACTTGCATAATAAATTTGCCTTAACAACTTTCAAAGTATGAGACTCATCCTATAATGATTATAGAACCCACGTACTTAGAAAACTGAAGACATAAATATAATGATTATTTTTCCTAAAAACCTGAAAAGATAGTACATTCTATCTTTTACAAACAGTTTCATAAATATTAACTTGTTTTTTGTCAATAATCCTGTGGTATAAGGAAGAGATTATCATTTCCATTTTCCCAATGAGATCTGATATGGCAGTAGTCTCTCTTAGGTCACATAATCAATGATACAGCAGTAAATCAACAACTCCTCACACACTTCATGTAATACAACCTTCTGCCACTCAGTCATTAACTAAAACAATTTTTAAGTAAACTGAACCCTGTATCTTACATCCTGACATTTTTAATGTTTGTACTGCCATTTCCTATACTATAAAAATGAGAATAACAATATTTACTTCAGAAAATTGTCTTATAACTGGGTCTTGGCATAAAACTAACATTGCCATCAAGTGTTGCTTTGTTGTTACCATTATCAATGCACTGCTACAAATTATAGAAATAAAAATTCCACATATTTATACTTTTGAAATTTTTCATCAATTTGAATTATCTTTTCTCTAATTTTTTTTTTTTTAAACCTGGGTTTCATATATTGGCTTCCTTTGTGGCTCAGTTGGTAAAGAATCCACCAGAAATATGGAAGACCTAGGTTTGATCCCTGGGTTGGGAAGATCCCCTGGAGAAGGGAAAGGCTACTCACTCCAATATTGTGGCCTGGAGAATTCCATGGACTGTATAGTCTATGGGGCTGCAAAGAGTCCGACATGATTGAGTGACTTTCACTTTCATATATTAGAAAAAATGTTCAGCTTAAAAATTTACCTAAAAACCAAGCAGGTGTGACACACTAGCAGAAGGAATAGCTGTGTTACAAGAGCCAGCAGACATTAGTCTTGGATACTAAGATCAGGAACATTTCTAGGTAGAAACTCTTCAAGTTGTTGATACCTAACATTCCTATTGAAATCTTAAGGAAAAGAATTAGGCCAGGTTTTGTGATACAGCTGTTACTTCATGTGAGGAAACAGAGACTCAAATAATATTATTATAAGATCATATATTATGATATTACTCATTCAAATAATAACTTACCCAAGGCAACACAAATGATAGTAACAGAGCTGGGGCCTAAACTCAGCAATTTCTTTGCCACACAAGAAGTTGCATCCTCCACTATGTCAGTACTAAGCTAACCTTTCAACTGATACTGCTAAAACAACAAATGTAAATTTTGAACACCTCATGTAAAGTTCTATCAGGAGACAAGTTCTTCTGAGAAATTACATGAAGATTATCCATCAAATTCTTGACAGTTGGTCAAATGAGACCACCAGAAAGAACGGTATGTGGTAAGATACTTCAAAGATGTTTTTGATGGTGCACATATGGGAGAAAACATTCCTCAAAATGCTGACATTTTAATCTTTAATTTTAGGAAACACAAAATCTTTTTTTAAATTTTTTCTACTTGCTTTTATTAAAAAATTTTTTAATTGTATGTTAATTTCTTCAAGATGTTGTGTTAGTTTCTGTTGTGCAACAGTGTGAATCAGATGTAAGTATACCTGTATCTCCTTCATCTAGAGCCTCCCTCTCATCCCCTCATCCCACCCTTCTAGGTCATCCACCAAGCTGAGTTCCCTATGTTATACAACAGCTTCCTATTTACTTGTATATCCTGATCTTCTATCTTCATGTAAGATCTGTAAACTTAGAAAACACGCCTGCCTTGTTCAGCAACACAGTTGGCTCAGTTCAACCATTTTCTTTTTTTTTTTATACTGTTATTTATTTATTTATCTCTCAGAACATCCCACCCTCACCTTCTCCCACAGAGTCCAAAAGTCTGTTCTGTACATCTGTGTCTCTTTTTCTGTTTTGCATATAGGGTTATTGTTACCATCTTTTTAAATTCCACCTATATGCGTCAGTATACTGTATTGGTCTTTATCTTTCTGGCTTACTTCACTCTGTATAACGGGCTCCAGTTTCATCCATCTCATTAGAACTGATTTAAATGAATTCTTTTTAATGGCTGAGTAATATTCCATTGTGCATATGTACCATAGCTTCCTTATCCATTCATCTGCTGATGGGCATCTAGGTTGCTTCCATCTTTTGAAGCAGTGATGATAAGTTCATGGAGAGAGGAAAGGTTATGAGGAGATAATGTTTCATGAAAATCAATAAACTATTCAACCTTTAACATGTTTCCTCTATACTGGAAACTGGTGAGAAATGCACACTCATTAGCCTGAAGAACTACATTGGAATCTATGCTGTTATATAGAGACTTTTACATTGTTTATTGCAAAATATTAGTATTGAAACTGGTAAAAAAAGAAAAAAAAAGTAAAATATCATATAAAAATAAATATTTCCTAGTGCAAATGCTAATGCAAAATAAACAAAACAATTTTTAAGATGTGGAAAGGTATAGGAACTCACCTGATAAATGCCAAGGAGATAACATAGTCTGCATTGACGGTGATGGTCCAGTCACAGTCCCTACTATGGGGATATGGATGAGGGAAGTTTGGTGAAAGAATAAATCCTGAAGATCCTGTTAAATTGCCTCCACAGGGTGCTTTAATTTAAAACAAACAAACAAAACCCCTTAAGTGATTAATAAAATTAATTATCTATCAGTATTTAGAAAACACATATCTAAAATTGTTTAGAGGTTTTTGTACAAACTCGATTTTTTATAGTACTTGATGCTTAAATACTGCATAATCTTTCAAGAAAGACCATTAAAATACTAAATACATACAAAAGTGAATTTAGCTCCTTTAATGGATTTAAAAGATAAGAAAAAGTTACATTTATACTTCTCTCCCTTGTTATTATTATTTTTAATCTTTTAAAGGAAACACATTAAGAAGAGGAGTAAAAATGATTTCCTCATAATTACTAAGAAAAACTCTGAAGGTTACTGAGAAAAAAAGAAACAAAACAAAGCAAAGCAAAGCAAAATCTCTAATAATATGTGGGATAATAGAATATGAGGTATTTGGTTCATTTTCAAATGTTCCCTGATACCTTTATTTATGGAAGAAGAGGCTTTGATAATAGTTAACATGTGAAAATGGATAACTGAGAACAGACATAACTTTATAATAAAACACTTCTAAACGAATGTTAGGACTTCCCTGGTAGCTTAGCTGGTAAAGAATCTGCCTGCAATGCAGGAGACCTGGGTTTGATCCCTGGGCCAGGAAGATCGCCTGGATGAGGGCATAACAATCCATTCCAGTACCCTTGCCTGGAGAGTCTGGGTGGACAAGGATCCTGACGGGCTAGAGTCCAGGGGGTCGCAAAGAGTCAGACACGTCTGAGCGACTAAGCACAGCACAGCACATACTGAATGTTAGGATATTCTTAACTTCTAGTTGCCTGACTTGTTGATGAAAATGGACAGTTACTACAGTTATTATTATGGCCTGACAAAGGTTTCTGTAACACTTCAATGGAGGTTCAAATAATTGTCAGAGAAATTCAGAGAATAGATTCTTCAGGGGGTTATTTTTAGAGCCTGTTAAACACAGCTTGATTAGAAAATAATATATTAAGTTGGCAGTTTAGGAAACTTAGAGCAATCGAGATATGGATGGTCCTGGTGGTGGAGTGAGACAGTGTGGATGTAAACATACATGTGTGCACCTGAGAGAGACTGACTGAGATGGAGACTGGGATTCTCATGGTGTCATGATGTCTCGTGCGCGTATCATCATTCCGCTTGTATCTGAGCTTTGAAGTCACAGTTTTTCTCAGTTAAATTTCATCATTGAGTTATAAGTTATACAGGATTCTTCTGACAGCACAAAACTGGTTTTCAAAGGAGAATTTTGGTTCTGGCAACATTTCAGATTTTTGTTCTTTGCCTGAGCCTAGATATGTAATATCATTATTAGAATTTGGTAATTTTTACCATCTAAATAATGGATGCTTGCTATCTCATTTCCCCATGACCTTCTGCAACCTTAGCCTCAGTATCGCTGTAACAACAGATGACCTACTCTGCCTAGAATATTTATTTGCTTAGACTTAATTTATTTACCCTATCACCTGTCTGTTTTTGTGATATCATATCAAATAATTAAACAGACTATCTCAACTTTCTCTAGATCTCCTTCAAACTTTAATGCTCCCTGGGTATTTTTCTCTACAATCAAGAGGGTAATGAGTTCCTCCTGTTAATCAGGACAACACCCTAAATTTGGTCACACAGTTTCTCTTTTTGAGAATTATATTCATTCATCTCCTTTATTCTCTGGCTTCTTCCTTGTTGCCCACAGGTACTCAAGTCTCTTTCATCCTTAAAATAAAACTAAGCTCCATCTAACCTATTTCCTTTCACTTTTTTTTTTTTCCCAACTGAAAATGTTTAATTTTACCTAATGGTTAAGAAATCCCCTCATCCTTGTGTGTTTGGTTATATGGGCTCTCAGTTAATAACCCTCTTTACCATCTAACTAGATAAGGGTCACTTATCCTAGATAAAACCTAAATAAGCCCCCTCAGTTTTCTGTGACAAAACCAGGCACAGACCTTGTAAACTCCCTTTCCTTGACTCAAATGATTAGTTGAATTGCTTGTACTCACAGATAAATCACAATAAACTGCATGCAAACAAACTTTGCTCAAGTTTCTCTCCTTTATCTAGGTTCTTGAACTGTGGTTCTGCCTCAGCCTTGAGCCGGCACACAACCTAAGTACAGGCTGGACCCAGAGAACAACATTCTGGGCCACCCTTTCAACTCACTTTCCCACACCTTGCTCTTTTTCACCTTGTGTACTCTTTTCTATAAGAGAAAAACCCCTTTTTCCTAATTCTTCAGATGCTTGAAGATGTTACTGTCACATTTTCCTATCATAGTAGTCTGCCCCTGCCCCCATCCTGTAATAACCCTTTTTAGCTTTTAAATGATCACCACAATGAACTGAGTGAACATCTGTCTTATCATAGAGATACAAAATTAAAGACAAAAATTAAAGTTCTTGTGATGAGAACTTTTAAGATTCACTCTAACAACTGTTATATATCCATATAAGATACAGTTGTGTTTCATATCATATTGTACATTATATCACTAGTACTCACTAACTGGATAGCTAAATATCTTGTACTTTTTAACCATCTTCATACAGGTAGCTTTCCCCACTCCCTGACTCTGGTAACCACAAATCTGATCACTTTTTCTATGAGTTTGTTTGCTTTTGAATTACAATGGACTTACAACACATTTGTTATTGCTATCATTACAAGAGTAAAATTCTACAATAATTCATTTTTAATTAAATTATCTCCTTAATTATTTTGAATTTATTTATTTTTATTTTACAACTAAGGCTTCTGAAAAAGTCTAATCTCATTCTCTTTCATCAAACATGTACTATATATACCTACAGGCAGACTAACATAATTAGCAAAGAATGTCACATTGGAAAAAAATATATATGGTTTCTTATTTCTCAAAGAAAAGCACCAAAGTATTTATCCTGAGAAAACTTAGGTCAGGCATAGATTTTTTTCATTTTAAGTTATAGAGAGACAACAATCTTTTAATTGCTTAGGGATTTGCGATGTCTTCATTTGTTCCTCCCCACTTCTCACTCTCTCTCCAGCCACTGATGCTTCTCCCAGCCCCCTTGCCTCCAACACAGACCCTCCTAGCTCACCCTTGGATGACTTCTGTACTGACTAATAAAGATGCAAGTTCTGCCTGTATCTTTCTCTTCCTATCTGTAATCATCCTTAACTGCTGACTTTCACCTTAAATTCACTCTCCTTTTGGAATTTCACTTTTCTCTTTTGATGTCTTTGTACAGACCTCAGTTTTATTGGCAAGCACCTCTTTCACTTCATCTTATAATTTTGGTATTTTCCTGAATTACTTCCATAATCATCTCTAATTTATATTCTATTACATTCTTCCTGTCGATTATATCCAAATTGTTACCTTATCTTCCACTTATATACTGATAACTCCTTTTTCCTATCATCTCCAGCAGATTTCCCTGCTTAATTCTAAACCATATCCCCAAGTGCTTACTGATTATCTCTACCTGATATCCTATGGCTACATCAAACACAGAATATCCAATATACCCAAACCTTAACTCAAATTTCTCCTATATTCCTAGATTGTTTGATCATGGGCTTCCCTGGTAGCTCAGATGGTAAAGTGTCTGCCTACAACGCGGGACACCCGGGTTCAATCCCTGGGTTGGGAAGATCCCCTGGAGAAGGAAATGGCAACCCACTCCAGTATTCCTGCCTGGAAAATCCCATGGACTGAGGATCCTGGTAGGCTACAGACCATGGGGTCGCAAAGAGTCAGACATGACTGAGCGACTTCACTTCACTTCATTATCCATCTACACATAGATATTTTCTATCTTTTCTCCTCTAATACCACATTTTTAGATCTGACTCTTAAATGCCTCCAGAATTATTGCTTTTTTTTTTTTTTTGGTTTGTTTTTCATGCCTCTAGTATAATCTAGCATAGTCGGACATGACTAAGTGATTGAGGACACACACAGTATAATCTATTTCCTCCAATTCATCTTCCAAGTAAAAATATCTAATCATATTATGTGCTCCGTCTCTTCAGTTGTGTCTGAGTCTTTGCGACCCTATGGGCTATAGCCTGCCAGGATCCTCTATCCATGGGGTTTTCCAGGCAAGAATACTGGAGTGGGTTGCCATGCCCTCTTCCAGGGGATCTTCTCCACCAAGGGAGTGAACCTGGGTCTCCTGCACTGCAGATGGATTCTTTACTGCTAAGCCACTGGGGAAGCCCAGTCAGATTATACCCATGCATAAAAGTCTGCTGTTACTTCACATTGCCTAAAAGATAATGCCCCAACTCCAGTACAGCTTTCATGTCTTAACCCTTGCAACTTTTCCATTTGAATCAACTACCAATCTAGACACGTAATTTACACTCAAATAATTATTTAGTTGTTCCTTGTATTAACATGCCTTTATGCCTCCTATTTGTTTTTCTTGAAATGTCTGTTTCCCTTCTACATCTATGTAACTCTTTCTTATATCTCAAGATTCATCACTGCCTTCAGGGAGTTTGCAGTGGTTAAGAATCCTCCTGCCAATGCAGGAGACTCAAAAGATGTGGGTTCCATCCCTGGGTGTCGAGAAGATCGCCTGGAGAAGGAAATGGCAATCCATTCCAGTATTCTTGCCTGGAAACTCCCATGAACAGAGGCACCTGGACACTACAGTCTGTGGGGTCACAAAGAGTCAGAAATGACAGAGTGACTGAGCACACACCAGGGAGTTTTCCTAGAAATTTTCAGCCTGGGCTCTATGGCAGCTCTCTCCAGAACACCCTGGTATCCATAGCAACTTTTGCCTATCTCTATCACTTTCCTTACTATATTTTATTTAAATATTCCTTTCAGGTGTCTGCATTAATCTTTAATTCATAAGGTAAAAACTGCCTATATGTTATTTTCTATGTGAGATTTAGCATATACTACACATTCTACAAATGTTTGCTGAATTGTTACTGGCTCCTTGCATTCCTTATGAAGATTAATGATGACTAGATTGAATGACAACCTAATTTGTAGCTATATGCTTTGATAAAAATAATGGCATATTTTGTCTTTGGAACTTTTGAAATCAAATGTGAATTTGGAAAGTATCATAAAAATATGTCTAACAGCAAATGCATATATGTATGAATTAAGGCAAGAATGTTTTTGTGTTTTCCTTCATGTTCTAAGGAAGTGGTATTATTAGTAATTTGGGGGGACTGTTGTAGCAATTTTATTCGTTTGTTTCAGTTTTATTTTTCACAGCAAATAGTGATCTTTTATCATTAGCAATTTTATGCACATGATACATCTATATTTACATTTACAGTGTATATTCTTTATCACATAGGATATAGGAAAATCCAGTATACATATTTTAAGTATCTTACTGAATATATTTTGTGATTATACTACTATTTGAGCATAAAGTCTTTTAAAATTATTTTGATTCAATTATTTAAATTACTTATTGAGGTTTTCCTGATAAATTTCATTGCTGCAATAGATTCTGAAAATCTGTAAAAACCACTGAGACAAGCAGAGACATTATCTGACATTTGTATAAGTTCCAAACAAATCAACAGTAAAGAAAATTATCTTTGCTTTAAATATAAAACTTTGCTATAAATAAAACTTTAAATAACATTTGGAAAATACATTTTTATTTTTATGTATCTAATCATAAAGCACAAAAAATAAGATTCTCTTTAAGTCAAATACATTAATGACTTAAAATTTTATTTAGGTTCCAGGGAATTCTGACATTAATGATTTGTTCTGGGTGTAGTTTCTGTGAGACAGTTACATGGGCAACTATTGATAACGATTTTACAATATTATTAATTTTTCTCCCCAATTCAGTTTTACTTGTGTCTACTGTCTTTTTCAGTAGCCCACCCACACTAATGCTTTTTTTATTTACCTTCATATTGAGTGCGGCTACTTTCTCTCTGTCAAAGTAATGTCAAAGTAATCTTCACACTGTCAATTTTGTTGGAATGAATTCTATTAACTCTTTTAAAGATGACTGTCCTTTTGTTTGGTATTTGCTATAAGGCTGACTACTTCTACACGCAAGCAAAATGCTTCATGCTCCATGGTCTGACACATAGACTTATGAAGTTTCTAAAAAGTTGAGGGTTTAATCTTTGGCATAGTATTTCCAATCATGGACTCCTTTCCTATCAGTTTCAGAGATCAAGCTTTCTGCAGCCTTAGCAATTTTTCAGACTTTTTTTTAGGTTATTTTCTTCAGAGAAGCTCTAATGCCTATCCTCTCCTCAAGTGATCTTTTCCTATAAAAAAATAATACACAGCACAAAAATCCTTTTAAAAAATTCCCCAAACCTGCTCCATTTAAAAAAATTTAGTGTTCAACATGTTTTTCCTAAAATTATTACCTGCTGACTAAAGTCTTGTCTACAAATGGAATTTTACAACAGCCTATTTAGTCTTTTATGCTTCATATTTTTGTGTTTTCTAGAATTTCAGTGTAAAGCTGTTCAATATTTCAGAATTCTCAACATAACATTTGATATACTATAGCCTTTCTGATAATTCTAATAAATAGCAGCCATTTAATAGGTGTAAAAATCACAATAACTCAAGAAGTTCCAAGTAAGTTTCTGAAGTTGTGTCATTTTCTCTTTACATAGATGCCCTTTACAAGATGCTCAGTCAGATTCCAATTAATTGGAATGTAGCTTTTTGGTTTAATTGGCATTTTTTAGGTAACCTGTGTAGTAAACAAATAAATGAAAATTTCACTGTTTCAGTCTTTCCTTTGAAATTATTTTTTCCTTTTTTTTTTGTCTGGATTTATGAGTGAAGTTATAATAAAATGCAAAGTAACATGTTTAATGATTTGGAATCTTTCAGTGATACATACATAGTGAGCAACATAAAGTATAAATGGAAATAATAAACTGTAAAGGGAAATATGGCTAAAGCTGAACTGGCTCAAGGTATGCACTTATTTTGTGCTTTTTTTTCAGCCTCTTTAATAAGCTTTGTCATTATCATCTGCCCCATTTTCTACAGAAGTCTAGAAATACCTAGAAGTCATATCCTGGCTGGTTTGAGTCTTTAGATATGTTTCGTTTTCCATAGTAAGTACTTTTTGTTAATTCCAGACTATAAAATGCAAAATATATGATATGAAAATTCAGACTATTTAGTTTTCACTTTATTAGAAGTAGGTTCACAAAAACAGAGAACTCTTCTATATTATTTTAATGCTAAATCATCAATGCCTATAACAATGTGTAGGACACACTAATGAATTTGAATTTCCATCTCATGCATAAGAAATATAAAATGAATAAAATAAATCTGAATAATTGAGTGCTTAAGTACTAAACACTCTTTTCCTATTATCATGTGACTGTGAAATAATTAGTGAAAATGTATTTATGAGTTAGATATAAGTGAACAAAAATAAGTCTTTCTCTCCTAAATGTGCTAAATTTGCATGCTAGAAGAAATACAATGAACAAGAAATGGAATCTTCTCTCAAGTTGCTTACAGTGTACCAAAGGAAAGGATATGCATAAAGTTTTGAGTAGACAGGACAAACTTCAGTCAAAATGTATTATATATTCTAGATGACACTAGAACCACAGGTTTGAGATTGAATTAGTTGAATGTAAGAACCTTAATGATGAGATCTTTTTTGGTAAGATTATATAGCATATTTTCTCACTATTTTTAATCCAAAGGTTTTTCTCACACTTGGTAAAGAAATAATGTGTGTCTTGATTTTCAAGAGTCTAATTTGGAGATTCAAGAACAGGGCATGGAAACAAAAGACAGAGAGTTGGAAGTATGAACCAAGTGGTCGCAAATCCTTAAATCGTCAAAATCAAAACTGATCTGGAATACATGGATTGAAGGAAAAATCAAAGCCCTAAAACTCAAATTTAAATTCTGATAAAACTTTCTTTCTTAGAAGAAATAACCATTAGAGAGGCAAAATCAATATGACCCATTTCAAATACAGCGCCTGAATCTGTTTTGTAGATTTTAAAAGTACTGGATAACTACATGTGTTTGGCAGATGATATATACTTTGGCAGCCTCATACTTTGGTCACCTGATGCAAGGAGTCTACTCATTGGAAAAGATCCTGATTCTGGAAAGACTGAGGGCAGGAGGATAAGAGGGTGACAGAGGATGAGATAGTTGGATGGCATCAATGACTCAATGGACATGAGTTTAAGCAAACTCCAGGAGACAGTGAAAGACAGGGAAGCCTGGTGTGCTGTAGTCCACGGGGTCACAAAGATTTGGACACAACTTAGTGACTGAACAACAATGAACAACAACATAGCAGATAAGGCAAGATGAAGGTTTTTCAAGAACTTTGATTCTAAACTTTTTTGGAAGAGTGTTAAAACCACTAGGAATATAATGAAATTATAGACCCACTCTCTCCTCAGGGGAAAAATAATAATGATTTACAATTTTGTGCATTTTTTGGAAGGTCATAGACCTCTGAAATCTAAAACCTATTCCAGAATAATGTTCTTAATAACACTGAAACCAGTTTTTAACCATCATTTCACACTTGCATAAAATTTTAATTGTTCTAAATTCATACCTATACAAACTGGTGGGCTGGGCTGCCAGAAGTATCGATTTTCTACCTGAATGCAGGTTATTCTTTCCTCTCCTTGAAGTTCATATCCTGGGTCACACTGAAAAACCACAGTGTCTCCAGGTTCTCGTCCATCCCCATTTCGAGTTCCATTCATAGGAACCCCTGGGTCACGACACGCAGTGGCAACAGAACCTGTGAACAGACAGAAACAAATGTTTAGTTTTGATGCCAACCAAAATCAATTTCAAAGTTCCAGACCTCATATTTGAGAGGCTTCTACACGTCTACGTGCTTAAAAAAAAATAACTTAAGAATGCCTGGGTTGTAATTCCCTGTGCTATACAAATATATCCTTGTTGCTTTTTAAATGAGGTATAATTCCCTGATGGCTCAGCAGGTAAAGAATCCGTCTGCAATGCCGGACATGTGAGTTCAATCCTTGGGTCAGTAAGATCCTTTGGAGGAGCAAATGGCTACCCACTCCACTATTCTTGCCTGGAAAATCCCATGGGCAGAAGAGCCTGTTGGGCTACAGATCATAGGGTCGCAAAGAATTGGACATGATTGAGCATGCACATATATTGCATATATAATATATAAAAATTATCTATGCTGTACATCTGAAATTAATATAACATTGTAAATCAACAAAACCTCAATTTGATAAAAAATATTGCTAATTTTTAAATACCTGCATAATAAATACTTTTAAATTGTTTTTTCATAAATAATTTATTTGTTAACTTGCTTCAAGTAGTAACATGACATTTTAGTAGCTAAATAATAAATCTACTCAAAATTCATTATTTTGATGCTCTGTGAGAAACATTGTGAAGAGGATGAAGAGACAGCTGCAAATTAGAAGAATATATTTGCTTGGCCTATATATCACAAAGTACTAGTATCTAGAATATATGAAGAACTCTTAGAACTAGGGAAAAAAAAAAGAAGAAAAAATCAAATTACAAAATGGGCAAAAAACATTTCAATAAAGGGGATATCAGATGGCACATGAAAAGATGTTCAGCATCATTAACCACTAAAGAAATGCAAATTAAAACCACAATGAGATACCTATCAAATTAGCTAAAATTAAAAAAAAAATATGGCAACACCAAATGCTGGGAAGATTCTTTAAAAAAAAAAGAAAGAAAATGAATTACACATACACTTTTGGTAGAAATGTAAAATTGTACAGCCACTCTGGAAAGACGACACTTCCTTGAAAAAATAAATATAAGCTTACCATGACCCAGTAAGTGTACTCTTTCATATTTATTCCAGTGAAACGACAACCTGTGTTGACATAAAAATTTGAACATGGATGTTCACAGGAGTTTTCTTTGTCAGAACTAAAGACTAAGAGGACTTCCCTGGTGGCTCAAATGGTAAAACGTCTGTCTAAAATGCAGGAGACCTGGGTTCGATCCTTGGGTCGGGAAGATTCCCTGGAGAAGGAAATGGCAACCCACTCCAGTACTCATGCCTGGACAGAGGAGCCTGGAGTCCCTGGGGCTGCAAAGAGTCAGACACCGAGTGACTTCACTTCTTCTGCAAAGACTAAGAACAAACCTAACGTCCTTCAACAGGTGAACCATTAAACTCAATTCATACCATGGAATATTGCTCAGCAATAAAAAAGGAATGCTGATACATAGGACATCTTAGGTGTATCTGAAAGCAATTATGATGAGTAAAAAAATACAATAGCCTCTACTGAGGTAACATTCTTGAAGTGACAGAATTACAAAGCAGGAAAACAGATTACTAGTTACCAAACATTGTAGGGGGGGAGATGGAAGGAGATGACTATGACTATAAAACACTCAAAAGAGGGATCTTTGTGATGGAATTGCATTGTGGTTTGCTTCTGGTGGTGGTGATCAAATCTACATAAAACTATATAAACAAAATAAACATACACCCACAAAGGAGCATATGTAAAATTAATGAAATCTGAATAAGGTTTGTGGATTGTATCAATGTCAATTTTCTGGTTGTGATATTGTGCTATAGTTATACAAGAAAGTGCCATTGGAGGGAATTGGGTAAAGGATATACAGATCTCTATTATTTCTGACAACTGTATAGAAATCTAAAATTATCTAAATTTTAGTTTAAAAAATCATTAGAGGAGAGTAGTATGGTACTACAGGAAAACAACTGTTCTTTTATTAATATATACAATATATGGCACATTTAATAATATAATTAACTACATCATACAGGTTAATGGAATAGGAACAGCTTAATTATTTTGAATTACTACAAAGCAGATATACTCTAAAGCAAATGATAATTAAATATCAAGACAAACAATTAACTTTTTCATTTAAGCTATTATTAAACTATATTCATAAATGTAGGTTCAGTACTTGTATACATTATTTTTTAAACTACATATTAAAGTACAAAAATTGCTGGATTACAGACACATAACTAGTATTCATTCATTTATTCACTAACTTAATATATTCGAGGCATTGTGTTGGGTGCTAGGAATACAAAGGGGAAATAAGCAGACACCAAAGTGAACGGACTTTGAATTGTTCAAACTGTGTAGTAGTGGCCCCTATGAACAGATTCTGTTGCATACATCCCTAGGAGGTTAATAACCAGGCACACAGGTAGGTAGGTAGCTATAGATAGATAGATACATACATACATAGATACATAGTTTCATCAATATACCAATCAATCTGTTTTAATCCACCAGGCATTCTTTTTGTAGCTCATCTGCTTAATACACATACATACACAACAAAGAAATGAGAGGATCTCACATAAATATTGTAATGTTTTGACTCTCCAAGTCATTTGGGATCAAGGGGACTATATCAATTTAAAAAATAACAAAAACTCTAATATTTGTGGTATGCATAAAAGCTGAAATGACAAAAAAGTGATTTCATATATATATATATATATATATATATACATGCACACACACATAATCACACACATATATGTATACATACACACATATATAACACACAAAAAATGAATAGAACAAATTGTTTAATATACCTTGGAAAGAGTGAAAGTTATTTTTAAAGGGTTACTTTTTAAAGGGTTACTTTTTAAAAAGGTTACAAAATGTAGACTACAAATGTCATTTTACCTATCACTTAAATTAAAACCATGTATCATTATATACATCATCAGCAATCTTACAGTTTTGCTTCATTGTACTGATAAACTAGCATTTCTGAACAATGGCCAAGGACAAGGACTTAACATGTATAATTCATTTCATTCTACTAACAACCCAATCAGTCAAGTGCCATTATTGTTCTTAAATATTTTAGAGGTGCAAAAACTAAAGTTTAGGAAGATTAAGTAACTTTTTAAATATTACATAAATTAGAGTGCAGAACCAAGGTTTACACCCCAGTTAGTCTGGTTTCAGAAGTCAAATTTTTAAATAATACAGGAGAATGTCCTCTTCTAACTGTTAACTGTCCTCAAGGTACAATTTCTTTCTCGGTTAAATATAATAAACCTCATTAAGAAATTATTAAAAATACAGAGAGTACATCCATAAACAGAAATGCTATAGTGTGCATAAACGTGTCTATCTTAAAATATTCAAATGATCTTTTGAGTTATTTTTAGTTGATAATAGAATAAAAATCAAACTCATATGGGAGAATATGGAGGGAAGCGGGGCAGGGGCATGGTTCCAATTTCCAAGTGGATCTGTTCTCTAATACCTATCAGTGTTCCTTAGCAGAACACCCATCAGGCATTACAGTGTCTTGCAATTACAATCTTTTAATATTGATAGACACTTTTTTGGTAAATTTTTGGGATAAACTCAGTTATTAAGTTTTTCTTGAATTGCTCTGGGATGGTTTCCACTAACACTAAAACTGATCTATGAATTGGCTTTACAATATAAAATACAATAAAATATACAATATACAAAATAAAACACAATAAAAGTGGATTGGGATGTTCTACAAAGATTTACACTTAGCAAGTTTTCATTGGAAAGGAGTGATATAAATGTAAAATATGCTACAGCTATCAAACTGAAGAGAAGAACGATATAAAAGGTAATGAAAACAATTTATTTTGTTGTTGCTTTTATCGTTGTTGAGGCTTCCTATGTGCTGGACTCTTGCATCTGCAAAAAACTTGAAGCTTAGTATGAGCATTCTCAAAAGTAAAAATGTACATACAGCAATGTTACACAAATACTGAAATGAAAGCAGTTAGTATAACTGTGGCTTACCAGAATTTGAGAGAAAAAAGATGTTTGGGCCCTATCATCCGATTTACTATGCTTCAGGATTTAAATTGGAACCTGGTAACTAAAATCTGAAGGCCTCAATATGACAGCTAATATATGTAAAAATATTCATTTGCCTTTGGGGCTGGTTGACTTGAAGGAAGAGAGGTGGTAAAACTGTACCATATCTTTTCTCTTAATTAATAAATTAGGAGTAAGATTTTAAAACAAAATAGAGAACGACAGGGTTTAGTAAAAGACCAAATATTTTTCTTCTTGGAATTACTTGGGTTCTAAAGGCAATTAGTTAAATATACATAGAAACAATGACTTGCTGTGAATGCTATTGTCTTTTTTTTTACTTATTCAAAGTTTAATCTCTATACTGGCTATTCACTGTGTTTTTGGGTAGGCAAATAACATTTATTTTGGCATCAATCATTTTTGTTTTATGTATTAAAACAAAAGCTATAGCCATTGAAGAAAATAAATAACCATTTAAAACGCCATGGACTGAAATAATCTCACAAAATTAGCATGATTTAAAAGCAATTATATAATATTAGAAAATAGTATTAGGAACGTGTAAAAATAGGTTAAGAATCATTATTTGACATTTATTGTTTAATTTTATGGAACATACAATTCCCATGATAAATAATTCTCATTTGCTTTTATTTTTGCTGTCTTATATATACATATATATATATATATATAAAACACAGGATGTTTTTTGTTATTATTTTAATTTATCAACTATTTTATATATATAAAATCTAAAAAGCTACACATTAGAAATAATATATTTGCCACCAAATTATTAACATAGATAATTTCTACTTATTTTCCTAAATTCTTTAGTTCAAATTACTTCAAATTTGATTGCTGAAACGAATATCTGCATTTTTTTCTATTAGGTTTAAGTATGACATTCTTGATTTTTCTTAATAAAAATATG